GCCAGCCCCAAGCCCTCTGACACCCCGCTGCCCCCCAGGACCTGGAGGAGCAGCTGGAGGAAGAGGAGGCGGCTCGGCAGAAGCTGCAGCTGGAGAAGGTGACCACGGAGTCCAAGCTGAAGAAGATGGAGGAGGATTTGCTGCTGCTGGAGGATCAGAACTCGAAGCTGCACAAGGTGAGGGGGCCCCGGACTGTGGGCCCCGCATGCTGGGGAGGGGAGTCTGGTCCCCGCTGACCAGTCCACCCTTCACCCCCTCCCTATGGGGCTCTGTGCCCCCTTGCCAGCCCCCACCCCCGGTGTTGGGTTCTTCATGGGGGTGGGAGGAGATGCCCCCAGGTCTGTCTGTTTTAGCCTCAGTTTGGATCCTGTTCTCACTCTTGATCGGAATGTGGGTTTGAGCCCAAAGTGAGATCTGAATTGTGATCCAGATGTGACTCTGGATCTTAATTGGGTTCTGAGTTTTTCGTGACACCTAGAATGGAATCTGAATCTGGTTCGGACTCTGGATCTTAATCTCCTGCTGAATTGGAATCCGGATCTGACTCTGGATCTGAATTTGAATCCAAATGTGTGCTAATTGTTAATCTGGATCTGAATCTGAATTTTAATCTAAACCTACATGTGAATCCTAATCAAGATTTGAATCCAGATCATGATATTATTCTGGATCTGGATTTTAATCTCACTTTGAATCTGGATATTAATTTGACTCTGGATCTGAATTTGAATCCAAATGTACACTAAATCTTAATCTGAATTTGGATCTTAATCTCATTCCAAATCTGAATTTTAATACAAACCTGTATATTAATCTTAATCTAAATTTGAGTCCATATCTTAATTGCCCCCTAAATCTGGTTCTTAATCTGACACTGAAACTGACTCTTGATCTGAATTTGAATCCAAACATACACTGGATCTTAATGCAGATCTGGATCTTAATTTCACTTTAAATCTGGACCTTGATCTGAATCACAATGCACTCTTGAATCTGGATTTTAATCTTAATCTGACCCCTAGTCGCAGTTTTGATCCTAATCTGAATCATAGTCCACATTTAAATCTGATTTAAGATCCAGAACAGGGTCTGTATCTGAATTTTAATCTAAATCTGATTTTCTGGTCCTGATCTGGCACTGGGTTTGATCTGAATCTGGATCCAGATCTCATGTAGGTGTAAGATGCGAATGCAACTCTGAATCTGAATCCAAGCCTGGATGGGGATATTACAAATCCCCATCTGACCCCTAATTTGGATACGAATCGGAATTAGAACCCAAACTCTCAACCTATTTGCAGTCCAGTTCTGAGCTCAAATCTGGGATGGTTGATCTGAACCGTGATCCAGATCAGGAGCTCGCCAGCTGGGGTGTGACCCAGAGCTGAAGCCGGCTCTGTGCCGTGATCTAAACTGCGGTCAGAATCGGCATTTCCATACCCATTCGGATCTGAATCCGGATCCAGCTGCGAAGCGTCACCCTGAACCCGCCCGCGCCCTAGCTGGAGTCCATCCCCGTTCCTTTCCCAGCGGGGAGGGTTGGTGGGAGTGGGTGGGTCCCCGGCACGGCCTCACCCCCGCCCCGTGCCTCCCAGGAGCGGAAGCTGATGGAGGAGCGCCTGGCGGAGTTCACCTCGCACATGACGGAGGAGGAGGAGAAGGTGAAGAGCCTGTCCAAACTGCGCAACAAATACGAGGCCGTCCTCGCCGACATGGAAGGTGAGGGGTGGGGGATGGGCCCCTGGGGGACCCCGGCGTCCGGGTGGGGGAGGCCCTAGCAGCCCTGGCCGGCACAGGGGATGGGGAGAGGGGGGGTGCTGACCCCTGGGCGGGTCGAGCGGTGTGTTGGGGGGCGGGGATGGGGAGTGGGGGAAGGGATTTCCCCGGGGCTGAGCCGGGGGGGCCGGGTGAGGCCTCGCTGACCCCCCGCCCCCCCCCGCAGAGCGGCTGAAGAAGGAGGAGAAGGGGCGCCAGGAGCTGGAGAAGCAGCGGCGTCGGCTGGACGGGGAGACGAGCGACCTGCAGGAGCAGCTGCTGGAGCTGCAGCAGCAGCTGGAGGAGCTCCGGGCCCAGCTGGCCCGCAAGGAGGCCGAGCTACAGGCTGCCCTGGCCAGGTGCCCCCCTGGACTCCCCCCAGAGCCCCCCTATTCCTCATCCCCCAGCTGGGTCCCCCCCAGAGATCCACCCCCAACTCCTGCCTGGGGCCCCCCAGAGCCCCCCTATTCCTCATCCCCCAGCTGGGTCCCCCCCAGAGATCCACCCCCAACTCCTGCCTGGGGCCCCCCAGAGCCCCCCTATTCCTCATCCCCCAGCTGGGTCCCCCCCAGAGATCCACCCCCAACTCCTGCCTGGGGCCCCCCAGAGCCCCCCTATTCCTCATCCCCCAGCTGGGTCCCCCCCA